CTTTGTTCAGTCGTGTTTTAGCGTAATATTTTCCAGTGCTACTAAATAAGATGCCGACGACAATTTGAGACATTGTTTCAGTGATTTTATCCAAACATTTCACACGGCATCAGATAAGCTACTGTCAAAAACAGTATCCTAACAGAGAAGCTAGTCTGGTGGACTTCGAAATGTGGACTTCTCCTAGTAGGCGACTTCAATGCCCCAACAGTTGACTGGACGAGCCTCACAACGCCATCTTCAGTCAACTCCTTTGATGGTAAACTGCTGGAATCTAGTATATCGCTAAGCCTAGTCCAACATGTCATTAAGCCCACGAGCTCTGACTCACAGCACTCCTCCTCAACTCTGGATCGATTGTTCTCCCACGGTGAGGATATGGACCTCATACAACATCTTCCTCCTATAGGAAGAAGTGATCATGCTGTGCTCACTTTCAAGTTCACAGCAAGGGCCAAAACTCCATTTTGAACAAACGTTTGGAAAGCTGATATAAATGCGACCGTCTCAGCAGCCAACTCAGTGAACTGGTACATCAACCCAAAGTCCCAAGTAGAAGCTGCATGAAACCAATTTAAACAACTTTATGCCCAAGTAACTGAACCTTTTATCCCTTGGTATGTTCCAAAGAGTCGAGACATCGCCCCCCTTGGATAAACCGAGTGATTCGGAAGTTACTCAGAGGTAAACAAACATGTTGGAACCTGTTTGCCACACTTGAGACTCCTGAGACCAGGAAATTATATAAAACTGCTAGGAATAAAGCTATTGCAGAAATCCGCCAATCAAGGATGAAGTTCGAAGCACACCTGGCTCAAAATGCAAAGGCACAACCTAAGAAAATTTTCTCTTGCATGAACTTCAGGAATAAAACATCCAGTGGTGTCCCAAGCCTGACTATTGACAATGACACAATCGAAGATCAAGAAAAAGCAGAAGCAATGGCAGACTACTTCTCCCAAGTCTTTACACAGGAATCATCACTCCCTATAGGATCAGCTTTGGCTGCATCAGAGGAATACGGGATAGATTCCGTCGACATCGACCAAGACATCGTGCTCAACTGCCTAATGAAACTGGATGCAGGGAAATCCATAGGTACTGATAATCTTCATCCAAGGCTTCTCAAGAACCTATCAGCTCACATAGCCGGCCCTTTGTTCACGATCTTCAAGGTCTCTCTTCTAAATGGAGTGTTACCGTGTGACTGGAAGGACGCCATAGTAAACCTCATGCACAAAGGAGGACCAAGACAAAGCCCTTGAAATCACAGGCCTTTTAGTCTCACCAGCACTTTAATCAAGACACTAGGAAGAATCATCAAGAAAAGCATCATGGCATATCTTGAAAACAACAAAATGTTATCCAGAGCAAAGCACGGCTTCCGAACAAACCTCTCATGCCTGTCAAATCTCCTCACTGCAAGAGAAAGCTGGTTCAAATCAATGAACAACACAAGACCTGTTGACGTCGTCTTCATAGACTTCAGCAAAGCCTTTGATAAAGTTCCTCACAAAAGACTACTCATGAAGCTGGAAATTCTTGGTATGAAAGGCAGATTACTAAACTGGCTCGGGGAATTCCTCATAGATAGGAAGCAGAGGGCTAGGATCAACTCGAAACTCTCCTCTTGTACAGCAGTGCGTAGCGGAGTGCCACAAGGCACGGTACTCGGACCTCTCTTATTTATTTTGTATATCAATGAGTTATCTCTGCTCACGGATTCCAAAATGGTCCGATACACAGATGACTTAGGAATTTGGAGAGAACTGAAGGGCAACAGTGATACGCTCACGTTGCAAGAGGACCTCAACAAACTGTCAGAGTGGTCCACAGAATGGATTCTCCCGATCAATGTAGCTAAATGTGCAACCATGCGTATCGGACAAGCAAGCATCAGCTCCTACGAACTAGAGGGAACAACACTTCCATCAGTTCAGACTCATTTGGATTTAGGTGTCATGCTTAGCCACGATTTAAAAACAACAGCACTTTGTAGCGCGGTAGCTGCACGTAGATTCACATCCCTGTGGGCGATTCGCAGATCCTTTACTACAACCACCAGAGATATGTTCACCTCCTTATATACATCTCTGATGAGGTCAAGATTAGAAAACGGTATCCAGGCAGCCAGTCCTTGTCTTAAAGGGTTCAAAGGAAGGCAATACGTAAGGTTCTCGGCATGACTAACGTATCATACGAGGAAAGAGCAGACAGTTTAAAACTCTGCTCCCTGTCATACCGTAGGCAGAAAGAAGATTTAATCAAAATGTCTAAAATTTTAAATAATCACTACGGTCCTGACCTATACTCTCTTTACCTTAACATCAGGTCGAAAAACCTTAGGAGAAATAGCAGGAGAGCACAAAAGCCAAGAAGATATCATATTGCAGTAGAGTACTGGTTCACAAACCAAGACATAAACTAACAGAACCGACTCCCAGAAGAAGTGGTGTCTGCAACCTCAACTAATTCATTAAGGAAGGCTTCGGGAAACAATAGAAATTTATTAGAAGAGGATTAACAAAGGATACAAGCATTCTAAATTCAACAAATAAATACGATATCACCTTTGCTACCGACATGCCAATATTTTGTTGTCATAATGAACTGAGATTTCCTCAATCTATGTAGAATTGTATTTATTGATAATGAACTAAATGGATGCAATACTGTAGTAAAAAAATGCTGAGAATTCCATTCTGTATCACAAGTACTGTTTTGGAATAAAGCAAATTATTATGATTATTATTATTATTAAATGTCAATGTACATAATGCATGTTTTGTTCCAAGCATTTCACATGGAATGATATATGGACGGAGATCAGTTTATATCCCATCCTTACTACTAGTTTGGAATATGTTGAAGTGGTGGTCGCAGTTATCACTCCCATATTTAACTCCTTACAGACTTGATGTTTTACATACTGAGAGTTACATCATGAAGCCTTGTCGAACGTTCTATCATTGTAGAAGAGCGAGTGGAGGATTTCTGTACAATACTGATAGCACAAGCAGAGTTAATGTGTGCTCTAATGGCTTACGTGTATGAGGAATGAAAACAAGAAATCCATCATCGATAAACTCTTTGTCTACTGTTGCGCCTTCCCTAGACACCTTATTTTGCTTCATTTTTTATATACTTCATTATTGTTTTTGAAGACAATGTCAGACCAAGATTATGATCACTTTTCACTTGAGCGTTATTTTTGTTACTTGATTCCCATATTTTTAAAAGTATTTTTAGGTGTCTTTTGCAAAATAATGCTGACTTATTAATCCTTCGAAAATGTTGAAAATAATTTCGGATTTTGGACTAATAGAGAGTTTCCGATAACTTGAGATATTCTTACAATCCTATTTAATGTAGATGGGAAGTGTTAGTTGACACACTATGACAGGATTATGTGCACGAATGAGTAGCCTGAAAAATAATAATTAAGGTAGCAGTCTACTATTTTAAGTATAATTGTAACTAGCTGACGGTTGTCTATCGCCTTTAAAGTATCAAATGTCATAGCAATTTATACTTCACCCTATTCTCCTTCCATATCGATGGTACTTTTGCAAATATCGCTATTACTCCATAGGCTTTTGTGTGACAAATTGAAATGGAAAACTTTTACAGAAAGTCTAATTCTGCGTCGTATATTAGTTACTTGGCGCAGACGTTGAAGTCTGGAGAATCGCTAGAGATACTAAACTCTGGTAATTCTGTTCTGAAAATCTAGGTGAATCCAGTGAAGACGACAAATACGTCAGTTGGCAGAAAATTTGCTCGGAATATATTGAATTAGTTCAGTCACTCCGACTTTGGTCAACTACTTAGAGGAATGATATCCCCACGCACGTAAAACATAGAGTAGATAAATACAACTGAGACGTCAGTTCCACTAACTGTATAATGTGATAAGTAGGAGAGAGATATGGTATAAATCCTAGCGTCTTAACATCTGAACACCTATCAGCAGCTTAGGATCAGCATAGGTTTTTATCATCTTCTGACGCCGATCGTACGCATAGTAAGAGAACTACGTTCTGGGTGACACCTTTGTAGGTGAATATACGAAGATCATCGAAGGATCTGTGACGTGTTCTCTAAATGTGCGGGGTCCAAATGCACTGGATAATATGAGGTGTGCAAAGTTATTAAAGCTCATGATGCAAATTTTATCAGATGACAAGAAAATCTCAATCTTTAGAAAACGTGACAGGAAAAGTCACAAGCTTGTTAGTGATTTCACTATGCTCAATAGGTGTTACAGCCATCGATATCGATGAAGCATCCTTATTTATAACCAGCTGACTTCTAAATGTGCATAGACGCATCCGCATGCTGATTGTTCACACCGTTTCTCACCGCTCCATCCTAACAAAAACCTTCGTCTTTACACATTAATTCTGAATTCTGGGGCTTCTTGGCTACATTAAATCGTCTACGCCAAAGTAACTCATTCTGTTACCAAGTACCTTGACCCAGTGTTATGTTCTATAGTTATTCTTATGGCAGGATAACCATGTCACCTTCGCACCTGAAAACGCCTGGTAGTACACGCCCCACTTAGTGCGGTTCTAGTAATCTATGCCCTCGGCTGTGACTTGCCAACCTCAGCCATCTCACAGACGATATAACGTACTTGAGAACTGCACTGAATAGGTCTACAGAAAATACTACAATATGCAATAAACAAACGACAACCAGATAGGATAACGACGACGGTTCAATCTTAATACATGAAACAGAGGAAGTCGCTTAGTGACATCATTCAATGTCACAAACAATGATAGAGGACACGATGAAAACGGACCACATTATTGAACAGTGGACTAGCGAAAATGTGGAGCAGCAGTGTGAACAAAAATTGAATTTTCAGCATCAATGATGTGCTCAAGCTCTAAGAATATGCAGTTAAGCCTTCATTAACGTCGACTTCATATAAGATTTAACCAAAATCCAGAATAAACACCAATACCTTTTAAAACTGTTTATTTCTCTCGTCAAACGCGTGAAGGGTATAACATAACACGAATACGTTTGCCCATTGCAGATGCAGGTAAATTGTGTTTAAAGCGAGCTCTAACAGCCCCACTGTTGCCGTGAGGACGCATGATCTTTCCCCAAATCACTCGGATTTTAGTAGGTTTCTGCCGTCTTGGGAATGATTTTTTCCTGGAAAAGCATGATACGTTATGATATATACCTTACTTCTGAGCACGATACACGTATACACATCGTTTACCGAGGTAGAACTCCGTTGATTTTCTCTCAGTTACCCCATCGACACGTAGTAGAGCTGTGTTTTCATGCTGATTTCGCAGTCCCCTGCGATAACCTGTGAAGGTTGCTTTGACATACAATCGACCAGGACGCTTCAATCGCTGTTTACGCTTAGCACCCTCTGCCTCGGACCCCTTTGCCATACTTACACGCCCAGGTTTGTAATGTGACTACTCGATGACCTTGGACACCTTCAAACAAAGTTGTAGCAATTGGACACAGTACTCATTCTGCAATTGTTAAAATGAAGTTATTAAATATGTTTCTGTGCTTAAGCTAACGCACGTCGAAGTTAAATATTTAGTCCTAATTTTTGTCGGCTTCTCAAAGATTTTAAAAGGAATAAGTTTATTCAACCAAGCTTTTTTATACACGATCAGAATTTTTGAAACTTGATTGGATTTAATTCCATGATGAATAATTTAATTCCATAATACACACAATGATACAGCATTATTAGTTGGACAACATCTATAACACAGGTAATTCGGAGTATTCATACTATTCAAGACTAATCACACAGATTTTCTTCAACCTCCTTTTTCACTCAGATTTTCTATACATTTAATGCAAACGTTGAATTGTTTCAGTTGCAGGTGTTTGATGCTGATTTGATGCACAGCGACGCAGTTAAGTTTTGGTCATGGAAACCGGCTATAAAATTCTGTTATCTGTAGTGTGCTATTGATCCAAAGACGCATATTCGAGTTGTTCATTAAACCGAGTATTCTGAATTAAGTTAGAGAAACCCATGAAGCTCACGCGATTTAGAATGATTTATCGATGCAATTATAGATCTTGGGCGCCATGGTAGAATGTAATTCCATAATGCACAAGTATATTTTAAATACCACACAAAGATTCAGTATTAACAATCTAGTTGTTAATACTACACCTATGTGATATTTTAAATAAACTCATATAATGTAGAACGATTTATCATATTTTAAATTCATTTTTCGCAACTTTTGGGATTGTCCGCCACTGTCAGGGTTTGAACATACAATATCAACACTGCAGCATTGTGCTGAGATTGTGTACCCCCTAAATTCTCGGAAGCCCTTAATGCAAATATACCTCTAAAAATGTTTAAATGTAATTTTGTAATTTCAACGATTGCAGAGCGTTAAACAGGTGAGTGGGTCTGCCCAGGTATTTGGCTAATTAAGCGCCCGTGATTAGGTGTCCTAGGATAATATGCTGTGTGAAAAACATGAAGGTTGCCTTCGCTTGGAGATGACCAGCCAAGAAGCTTACGAAAATTGGCGTAGTTAATGTTTTTGTTTTGGTGTGATGGTGTACCTTTATGTTCTTTTGATACCGACGTTAGTAAATGCAACTCTGAGTAGCCGTAAAAGTCGTTAACGCCCTTTACGAGTTATTGCTTTATTAAAAGAGCCTGGTTACTACGTTAGATAGGCCAAGTCATAGAATGAGCTTGTATTTGTGGCAAAGCCCCGGTCCACCAGGATAGATGGCCCCACAACAGTCATAAACCATATTTCTAGTTTGAACCGATAGAGGAGGAGCTTGAAGCTGTTCAGGCAGCCTAACAAACCAGTTGCCTGGAGGCTTCGGTCGCTTCCCAAAGGCAGTTTCCCAATCTGAATCTCGTTTGAATCAGTAAGTGCCTACCTCTCCTCCCTAAATTTCCGCAGTTGCGTGTACACTAGTGTTTTCAAGTCTGTTTCTGGTGCTTCTATCGCTCTTCCAACTCTTAGAAACACGGATCCCGAAAATTCTGCCTCTGACGATTATTGGGTATTCATCGATAAGTTATCCGATAGGCCACAGTCTTTTCAAGAGTATTTTGAAGTGATCGATGAGGAGATACTTCTCTTTTACGTCCATCATGATTTGGTTTCAATAACTAAACTTCACTTACTTCAAAAGTTGATTTTACCGGATAGTCGCGCTGTCAATGCAGTTGAAGAATGAACGATCAATTCATGGTTGTTTACTCAAACCCAACTCCATAGTTTGGCGGGAGTCACCGATACTGCACTCATCGTTCCATCGTTTGCTGTTCGTTAGAAGACGGAGAAATACTATCAGAAGTATTATTGTGATTAATTGTTATGACATTTATTCTTAGACTTTGTGCACAATTACCTTATGGTTGCTTCTATATTGGTGCAAGAATAAAAGATTATTGAATCACCAATCTGTGTTCTGGATTTTCGCGTTGGTTATTGGACATAGTTGTTAAGTTCAGTGTAGTTAGACCTAGACATTGACAGTTTCTGATATCTCCCGGAATTATTCGTCTTTTCTCGCGTCTGCAAGTCTTCTTTGGACGAGTATTGTTTGGAACTTCTCTTGATCGTCTGGTGACGTTCAATAATGCCTGGGCCAAATATTGGACGAAGCGTTTTGGAGGCAGACGACAAAGTAAGTCTTGATGATTTGTCTAATGTGTGCAATGTTATATGTGATGTTATGTTGGATAATCATGGTGTACCAGCCAGAGATATGAGTTGCTTAGAGCCGCCGAATTGCAAGCCTAGATGCTTTGAAGGGAACCCTGCTGACTTTCCTCACTTTGTGAAAGAAACTGAAGTCATGCTAGAGGGTTTGAAACTAAGTGATGAAATGAAACTAATGTACTTGTTGAGGTATTGTGCCGGTAGTGCGGCGAGTGCAATACAGTGTTGCAAGTTTCTGCCACTTAGGGAGGGATACACGGAGACTATGCGTATCCTGCCTGAAAGGTTTGGAAGACCTTCGATGATCGTAAAGAATGCATCGAGGCTGTTAAAGGTAATGGTAGTCGGTTACGAGACGACTCCAAGGCACTCACTGAGTTTCTGGATAATCTGATGACCTACAAAAATACGTTGGTTTTGATGAATTGCATGAGCGAGAAGCTCACCAACTCGACTGCAAAGGAAATGGGTGAAGATAGGCTCTCGTATAGAGGATGAAGGTTTAGAACCAGGGTTCGACGATATACTGAGATTAGTGACAGATGATGTTAATCAGAGTATGAATAAATTCGCCAGTATATTGCATCCGGCTTCTGAAACTGAGAGGTCAGCGAGTAAGACAAAGTCATTTGTGACGAGGGATTCTCAAAGCAATGGACGTTCAGTAAAGTTTGTTATCTGTGGTGACGTACACATACTTAGTGGGTGTGCTCGTTTCCTTCAAATGTCTCCAGAAGAAAGGCTAAAATTTGCGAAAAAGAAACGGTTATGCTTCTACTGTTTAAACGACGGGCAAACGAGGCTTAACTGTGAGGCAGCTGAGAATGGTGGTAGTGGTTCATTGGGATTACATTCGCTGTTGACAGTATCGAAGAATCAGGGGAGTTCTATTAATTGTAATAGCAGTTTTTCACCTCACGACTTCCAGAAGGTTTATTTAGGTGTTGTGCCAGTAAGAGTAAGAGGGCCAAATCCATGTGTCGATACATATGCGTTGCTAGATAATGGTTCAGACATTACACTGATAGATGCTAAGCTGGCTGATTGCTTGGGTATAAGGGACACAAAACAATCCTTAGTCCTAAGCACTTTGGATTCTTCGAAAACGTTAATATGTGAACGAGCGTCATTTCAGTTAGAATCCTTGACTACTGGAGAAACCATTGAAGTAGGTACTGCTTACACTAGTTCTAGTATGAAACTCAGCGAAGTTACATTGCCTAGTCGTGAAACAGTTGTCGGTAAGCCACACATATGTGACATACCGTTTCCAACATGCAAGATAGTAGAGTGAGAATACTCATTGGATGTAGTGTACCAGAAGCTCACAAGGTATTAGAAGAGAGATACGGAGGTAGAGATGATCTGTTCGCGACGAAAACACCACTGGGATGGACAATGGTCCACATATCATCCTTGGTTACAAACAACAGGGACAAACTGGAGACTATGATTAGAAATATGTATGACAAAGAGTTTTGTGACAGCAGTGTCCCAGAGAAGGGTCGTTCTGTGGAAGACCTAAAGGCAGTTAGAATAGTTGAAGAGTCTTGTAAATACGCTGCGGATATAGAGGAAATGTTCCTTCAAGTGAAAGTACCAGAGGGCGACAGAGATCACTTAAGGTTCTTGTGGTTTTATGATGGTCCTTGTGGTAAGGTGTCAGAAAATAGGATAACAGTCCATCCATTTGGTGCCACGTCCTCCCCGTTTTGTGCTAATTTTGCTCTACGTAAAGCTGTGTCCACGCTTGGTTCTGATGATCTGCTGGACGTCATCGATTGTAGCTTCTACGTGGATGATTGTTTAGCCTCTTTCGATGATGATAAGTCTACAGCTAAATTTGCAACAAGTATAACCTCGGTGTTAGCTAAGGCTGGTTTTCGTTTAACTAAGTGGGTATCGAACAGCCTAGACGTCTTGAAGCATTTAGTTTCAGAGGAGAGAGTACCCACTGTACGAGATTTACCTGTTGACACTCTGCCAGTTGAACACACATTGGGTATGCGATGGGATGTGAACTCTGATACCTTTGGATTTAGTGTTGGTGATATTGATAAGCCAGTCACTCGGAGAGGTGTGCTCTGTGTGTTGTCGTCCATGTTTGACCCACTTGGATTAGTAGCACCTCATCTACTTTCGGCGAGGAGATTATTTCAAGAGACACGCGGGGAAGGGTTACAATGGGATGACCCATTAAGTGAGAGACACAGTGAACAGTGGTAAAGGTGGGTTAACAATTTAAGAACCCTGGATCTACATTCCGTCTCACGTCCATCAAGAAATCATGATATAATTGACTCCCATGTTTTTTCTGATGCCTCTGAGGTTGGATTCGGAGCAGCCGTCTACATCAGAACTACCTTAAGGGATGATATAGATGTTCGCCTCGTGATGGGTAAATCCAGAGTTACATCTCTAAAGTAGGTTTCGATTCCGAGGTTAGAACTTACTGCAGCCTTGCTAGCTGCGCGGTTATTCACAACGGTGTGTAGAGAGTTAGATCATCCCATGCATCATCTAACGCTTTGGACTGATTCGATGCCTGTGATATATCACATAAACAAGGAGTCAGCAAGATATGCATGTTTTGTAGCTAACAGGGTATCTCAAATTCATGAAATAACAGCCGTTGAGCAGTGAAGGTACGTACCGTCTGGAAAAATCCGAGCTGATCTAGCCTCGCGAGGAGTTATTGATATGAATGTGGTTAAAAA